GAGGCCATCACTAGCAGGTTGGAGGCCATCGTTAGTAGGTTGGAGGGTGGGATGCCATTGCTAGTAGGTGGGAGGCCATGGGCCATCGCTAGTAGGTTGGAGGCCATCGCTAGTTGGGTGGAGGCCATCGCTATTCGTTTGGAGGCCTTGCAGTTACAAAATGCAAAGAAAACATTGTCGAGATTCGAAGAATTTGGAAGAGTCTGTCATTAGCCGCTCAAATCAATCGGTTGGATCGTTCTGAGCCGCCCTCCGCCACCTTCGGCCATTTTCGACCATACCGTGGCATGTCGGCCGGTCGACCGGAGGGCAAAGCCGTGCTGAGCACGGCGTTCTGCCTGTTTTGGGCAGATCAATCACCATCGGAGTCGCGACCGCTGGAAAATCCCAGTGGAAAACATTGTCAAAAAGATCCATTTGCACAGCAACAAATATGTTCAGTTTTGCCAAAGCTGTTGACTGGCGGGCATGGTGATGCTTGGGTTATTGTCTTTGCGTTGTAAAGATGCAATTAAGCCGAAGGTGAAAGCTTCAGGTTCAGCACAAGCTCCCAGCCACACAAAGACTGGTGCCACTGAAATTTGCCGAATTCGCTGTTACCTCTCGGCTGTTTGAAACATCGACGGTCTTCATCACCGGTTTCAGCTGCCAAGCCTGCAAAAGCTGCAATGCTCCCAGAGGCCATTGCATGTTTCCGCGCGTCTGAGTGGCGGGCTTTTCAGGCTTCACCTATTGCCTCGGATGAGTGCAAAAGAAGATCAAACCGAATAAAACCTCTTCTTTCTTTAGATTGCTGTACCCTTGTAATTACACTGACTGTATGTTGCACTTGCTTTCTTGCAATTACAAGATAGTTCTGGCTTTGAAAGTCCCCAAGTTCCGCACATGCCGCCGTCCCAGTGATTTCCCCACGAACTCCAAGACCTCTGACCTCGGGTGACGCACGCACCCATCGCATCGCACATTCTTTGAGTCAACCTAAGAGCGGCCTCCAACTCTCAAGACCAAAAGGACGGAAGTGCCTTACTAGTAGTAAAAAGAAGCTATTAGTCTAAAGTCACGGTCTTCGTTAAGTAAGCCAGTCTTACTGTAAGAACTTGGGCTGTAAGCCTAAGGCGGTAACCTTTTTACTTGACTTTCCCTTGTTTGTTTTTGGTATCTTTTTGCCATTTCTTGTGCCTTCTGTTCGATACTTATCAACAAAACCCAACAATTGAAAGATCTAATACTACTGTAGCTGGATGTGTCAACTGACAGCCCAAACCACCAACATGCCGGATACTGATACATTTGGATACCCTCAGATCCTCACTGTTCCCGTGCCACTGAGAATTCTCATAGCCCGAGGCCTTGGTCAGCGATACGAAGTGATCGAATCTTCAGCAAGCCTGGATGAACCTTCTCTTGTTCATCTAGAGATAAGACAAAGAACCAGAAAAAGGTAAAAGAAAGAAAAGATTGTCCAAAGGTCAGACCCCAAAAAAGAAAACAACGAAAATAGAGGAAAGTCATGGAAAGTCTAAGAAACAAAAAAGGAATTTCTTCTCTTGAGTTGTCATGACTGCACACACCCACACAGCGAGCATTCTTTTCCAAGCGGGGCACGGCATACAGAGCTCTCTTCGTTGAACATTGGAAGTAAAAAAAGAAAAAGAAACCTAAGAGCGATGGACTCTCAAAAAATAAAATTAAGGGTTCAAAGGTCAGGCCCCCAAAAAGGGAAACAACCAAAAATAGAGAGTCTAGTTGCATGACCCTCGAGACTGCCATTCAACAGCATTCAACCTACTTAACTCGGAACTGTGGTCACAACCTAGACAGGAACATCGGGGACATGACCTGGTGTGAACCTGGTTGATTTTCCTGAGGCCGCCACCCCTTTGCCGTTTCCTGCCACAAAAAAGCGCCGTGAGGCCCATGAGGCGTGAAACCAGTGCATTCTCGGGTAGTAGTAACAAGGACGCTACTAGGAACAAGTGCATCGCTTCTAGTAACAAGTGCCTTACTAGTAGTAACAATGTTTGCTATTAGAAACAAGTGCATCGCTTCTACTCGGGGTGCTTTGGTTCTTTTGAAAGAAAGACCAGGCTTCGCGGATGGAGCCCATCGCTAGTAGGATGGAGGCGGTTTGATTTATTTTACGTCAGCAAGAGCCGAAGGGAGGCACGCCTTTGCCATAACTCCGTCTGCCTCGGAGGGTCACTGCATGCACAGGCTTTGGCTTGAAATGAATAGAGAGGTCTTGGATTTTGTTCTTTCCTTTAACATTTTCGTTATTGTCTTTCTTTTGCAGTTGCAAATGTAACATGTTCAACATGTCGTCTTATCAATCTGATACTGAATATGAAAAAACACAAATGTTGTTTTCTCTTGTTATATGAACAATAAGCTACTAGGAGCAAGTGCATCGCTACTAGTAACAACTGCCTTACTAGTAGTAACAAGAAGCTATTAGTAACAAGAGTGCTTTTATGTTTCTCTTGTTTCTGTGTTTATGCTTCTCTTCGAATTGTCTGCATCCAATTCCCTCGCCTGGAGCCACGCTGTCCCTTCTCGAGTTCAGCACCGGCACCCAAACTTGCCTGCAAAGCTGACGTTTTCTGCATAAATAGCTATTTGTTCCTAGTAGCGTCCTTGTTACTACTAGAAAGACACTTGTTACTAGTAGCGATGCACTTGTTCCTAGTAGCTTATTGATTCTAATTAGTAAACTCTGTTTTTTGTTTTTGCATGTTCAATTTATGTTCAATTGTATGTTCAATTTACGTCATAGTGTTTTCATCTGTAAACTGTACAATTTATGGATGTGTCTTTTTGAGGGGGGGTAGGCCCAAAAGAAGCTAGAAGAGGTATAGGCTGCGTTCCTACCTACTGGACGCAGGATAGCTCATGCTGGCACTATTCATTTGGTTTCTAGATGTTTAGAAAAAACTACTTTACTTCTACTTTCAAAAAAAGTAATCTCAAATCATTTCATTCTATCTTCTGGCCATTGGTCACATCCAGGTCTTCTGCCGGCCTGTTTCTTGGCCAACGACTTGATGAGGAGGATGGTTCCTGTTCTTCTTTGACAGGCTCCATGCACTGCAAACGTAGGTGGTTAAAACGAAAAACATCTTGTAAAAGGCAGGAAGATGATCTTCTGCAGAAATAAAGCTTTGGGGGCTTAAGAAAAAGAAAAGCTTATGCGAACGGATTGGTGAACCGCGTTTACCCCGTGGTTTGCACAAAGCAAGCGCCTCAGCTTCAGTCTGCCGCCTGGCACATCCCAGATACCCTACTGTTCTTGTCTTTCTTTCTTTGTTTGGTTCTTTCCGCTTTTTTGGGGGGGAGTAAGCCGCTAAGTGGTAGCTAGTAGTGGCTAGGTAGGTAGCTAGTAAGGGAGAAGCTAGTAGCTACAAGAACGCCAATACTTAGGACGCAGGATAGCTCACGCTAATGATTTGGTTTCTAGATGTTTAGGGAAACTTAAGAAAGAAAGAATGAAAGAGAAATCAAGTAGTGATGGCCAAAATATGTTGCAACCCTTGGGGATAAAGTTCCCAATGGGCCTCGGTCTACTTTGCCAGTAGCTGGAAGACGAAGATTCCTATCATATGCCAGAAGGGCAACTACTCTCGCCAAAAACAGCACAAGTCATGAAGCGAAAGCCTCTGCATCATTCTGATGCCTGGCAAGGATCAGTTCAAAATGTAGGCCATTGTAGGCCCATCTCAAACATTTGATGTCGATGGTCATACCTCTGCCAATCTTCACTGGGTTTGTGATCCACATCCAACCAATTGTGCAAAGAAACTCTCTACATAGGAACTCGGCCTTTGCCTACCGTGCCAACGGCTGGAAGAGGAAGGTTCCTGCCACCATTAAAGGGAGCCACTCGTAGCATTGGAGTCCAAGCAGGCAAGCAGGCAAAAGCAAACAAAATAGAAAACAACTGAAATGTCCACGAGCGCTGAAAATAAAAAAATCCATCTAAATTGGACCGCAAGAAATTTGACGGTCTCGCAATGCGCACCGGACCCCATATGCCGGGCCTCTGCTTCGTTTGTATGCCTTCCCAATGTGAAAGAAGAGGGAAGAGCTTGAAAGGGCGCAAAGAGAAAGGGATGACAAGTCCGGAAATGTTTCTTGAATTCTACAGAATTTGTTTCTCTTTGGGGCCCCAAGTCTGGAATGCACCTTACCTTCCTTTTTTACATCTCTTAGATTTTTTACATCATGTACTGTCTTTTCTGGAATGCCTAACCTGTCTGTTAAGAACTGTCTCTGCCTATTTTGCACGCAAACGGTCGGTCATGTCTTTTCCAATCACAGAGTGAGGCCATCGCTATTGGGATGGAGGCCATCGCTACTAGGCTGCAAGCCATCGCTAGTAGGTTGGAGGCCACCGTAGCAATGCACTTTCTCGAGGCTGGCGCCAAGCTCTGTGATGCCAAGAAGCGCCTGGTCCCAGACACACCGTGTCGGAGCGGCTCGATCACAAGGTTGGACCAAATTGTACTCTGCAAAATTGTTGTTTAAGTGATCCGCCGGTGCATGTGAAATCATGTGAAAGGGGATGTGTTGAGGGACAAAATGGTCCTAGGAACAAGAAGCTACTAGGGGCTCCTGGCATCGCTACTAGGAGCAAGGACGCTGCTAGCGGCTCCTGGCCGTACTACTAGGAACAATGTTCGCTACTAGGAACAAGTGCATCGCTTCTAGGAACAAGTGCCTTACTAGTAGTAACAAGAAGCTATTAGGAACAAGTGCCACGCTAGTAGTAACAGGTGCCTTACTAGTAGGAACAA